CCCTAGTGTTTCTTCACGGTTTTGTTTTACGGGTCTCCTCTGGAGTCATGGAGGCATCAGTAGAGTTATAGAATTTCTATTTTGGATCTAGTCCTTCTCTCTCCACCCTCTCCTTCCCTCACAGCCCTGAACTGAGGTTTGGGGGCTGTTCCTTGCTCCAGAGGACTCCTCATTTGGGACTGAGACTTCACTGCCTTTATCTCATGGCTCTCCCCATGTCCCATCATCAGTATCAAAGACCACAGCTTGTGGCCCAAGTCTTCTATTTCTCCACTAACCCCAATCTCCATTCATTTAGGAGTCAGCTGAACAGATGCAAAGCACTTCAGGGGTGCCTGGCACACAGTAAGATGATCAATCATGAATTTCCTTTTACAGCTTGTTCTTTACAGAGCTGTCCTGGCTGTTATGAGTGTAAATACAATGATCCAATAACTGTATGTTAGATATGAAATATTTTGCACATCACATACTCAATCTTTAAAACCATCGGCATATGTACATGGTCAGTGAGACTGCCATTTCAGAAAGAAATTCATATCCATGCCTAGGCATCCACTGGATATGTCCATATCTAGAGAGTTTTTTTTAAGTGTTTGGAATCTTTCTCTTGCAAGGAAATGGACTATGGGTGGTCCAGCTTACGTTTGGGATGACTTTTTCAGCACAGATAAAATTCCAAGACAATAAGATTTTGATTTCATGTAAGTTCCTTTGTGCAAACAAGCTTGCATAGCAAAATGGTGCAGATGAATGTAGATAAAATGGGCTTTTTACAGATAAATGTAACTATATTATGTTTCTCTGTTTTAAAAATAGATCACATGGTGGAGGACAAAAATAGGTGAAATGGTAACATAAACCGACTTGTGTAATCAGAGGGTCAACTCTGACATTTTTCTCTCTAGGCCTTTCCTAACAGTCTTGTTGCTAGGGCTACAATGTTTTGCCAGATTGGAACAGAATTGTTAACTCTAATGAAGATTAAGTAGCTTGCCCAACTAGGTTTTTCTTTTTTTTTTTTTTTAAATAAGCCTCAGTGAATACTGCTGGCTTTGAAAGTTATAATTATGAAGAAAGGAAAGATCTCTAAAAGATCTATTTTTAAAAATAGATAATAAAATTTGAAATTTAGTAGAAATTTTCCATTTCACAGCTATTCCAACATAAACTCCTCAAAGTCACATTGAACAAAATAACTAGAAATATTTCACACATTTAAAAAAAAGAATAAATTATTTACAAGTTAAACCAAAAATAATTCACCAAAGATTGAGTAATTAAGGTTACTAAACAAACAATTCTGATTAGTTGGAAAATTGTTTCACTAGTGTTCACAAATTCATACCTGATTTATTCTGTAGACAATATAGATTAGGTATAGGATAAAGTCCTCTGTATTTGGTTCCTCCCGATCATTGGTCAAAATCATCTGACAACAGACTATCTGAGGAAAGTGTAAATACAAAGTTATCCAATAAAACACGAACAAGTTTTGCAAAGCACAGTGAAGGAAACCCAGTTTGTTCTGAACACTTTATTGCTAAAAGGATGTAAAGGGTAAGAGGAAAAAGGTGACGAAATACTCCTTTTGATGTGCTTGTTGGGGAGTCACAATGAACTTCCTTGGGCAGGGACAGAAGGAAGAGATCGTCTAAACTCCAAAAACCACAACATAATTTGCGTGTTTCCTTAGCCAGGGACAGAAGAGACCATTTAAACTTCAAAAACCACAACACAATTTGCATGCCCTTGTTCCACTTTACTTATGCACAAAAGCATGAGAACTAAGTAAAAATTCATGTAAAGTGACTAGCAAATAATAAATGCTAAATGTTTATTCCCTTCATGTATTTATATATTTGTAGCCAGAAATCCCTATGTTATAAGTAACATTGCTTTTCCAATAAGCTTATAGTCTTTAGAACCAAGTTATCTTAATTTGAATATTACAGCATCAGTGACATCTGGTGGAAAATACAGGAGTTACAATGTAGTATTACATAGCTATTCTGATCTTTCATGTAAATTTTACATACTAAATGAAAACAAATGTTCTATGAAGTTACCTACTTTTTTGTGCTAATAATCTTTGATTCTATATTCTAAAATATATAGGTTAATGAACATAAGAAATGTTAGTACATTATACTAATAAAAGCATTTTTTTCAATACGCATGTCTATATAGTGAAAATATGATTAAAAATAGAGGAATGAGGCCAGGCATGGTGGCTCACACCTATAATCCCAGCACTTTGGAAGGCCAAGACTGGCAGATCACAAGGTCGAGATAAAAGATCATCTTGGCCAACATGGTGAAACTCTGTCTCTACTAAAAATTACAAAAATTAGCCAGGCGTGGTGGCACGTGCCTGTAATCACAGCTACTTGGGAGTCTGAGGCAGGAGAATCACTTGAACCCAGGAGGTGGAGGTTGCAGTCTGGCGAGATTGCACCACTGCATTCCAGCCTGGCGACACAGCTAGACTTCATCTCAAAAAAAGAAAATAATAAACAAATAAAAATAGTGGCATGGGCTCTTTATCCTATTGAGTCTCATAAAAAGGGTCTCCTTTTATGAGACTCATGAAAGGATAGAGTCCATATCTCTCTTTCTATGGCATCATGTGCCAAAGAACATCCTTTCCCAAGTTTTCAGGTAAGAATTGTGAACTGTGGGATGAAGCATGTCAAGAAAATGGAGCTAGTTGTGCTTCAGATAATATGGAATTTCGGTATATTTGGGAGAGACATTCTATTTGAGATACTGTGGATGAAGCCAACAAATGATGATGTTTTACAAGTGAGCTTTAAATATTACAATATCAAATGCTTTGAACTAGGGAGGGGTTCAAAAATTTGTGACCAAAAGAACAAACTGTGATCTATTATGGGATTGGCAAGCTATAACCTTGGGGCCAAAGCAGACAGCCATGTTTTTTTTTCTTACTGGAACACAGTGATGCTCATTCATTTATGTATTGTCTATGGGTGCTTTCAGCCTCTTCAGTAGGTGCAAGAGACTATATGCCTTCAAAAGCACAACTATTTACTACCTGGCCATTTACAGAGTTTGACAACCTCTAGTCCATTAGGTAACTGTTATCAAACTTCTTGGTACCCTTCCCACCACCTCCATGGGAGGAGTATACTTCCTGGCCCCATTAAAGTTAGGCTTGGCCTTCACTTGCTTTGGTCAGTGTGAAAATTTTGAAGCTGGCCTTCAGCCTTAACTAACCAATGTCCCTCCAGCAGAATGAGATAGGTGCAGCAAAAGCCAACTAATACATGCGACTGTTAACACCTCTGCATAAGCATTTCCACAGAGGTTTGACTTCTTTGCTTGATGACACTAGGAAAAAGATCCTGAAGGCCAGATATAGTACAGTTTCTCCTGGGCTCTACTTAAGACCTTGATGGGCTTAACCTGTCTTCATACCTCTACCTATGGTAAGCAACACTGAGCCAGAGTCCAGGCCAGGCTCAGAGGCCCATCATGCTCTCTTAGAACCTTAGCTTTTCTTTGTTTAACATGGTGTAGAAATCAGTCACAAGTCTTTCGGTTGTTGGTTTTTGTTTTTTTTGGTCTTACATTACCGTGATTATTTTCTTTTTCGGTTGTTGGTTTAAATGTCTTCCTCCTGAGGTAAGCCTCAAGGTCTAGAAAAAGGGTGCGATGGTCCACCTGGAGCTACAGGGCAAAACATTTCTAGTCTAGCTTGACCTCAATAAAGCTAATAGTTTGGCTCCCACTCAGCTCCAAAATGTGTATTTCTTAATTGATACATAATCTGTAAGGGGTAAAATGACTTGTCATGACTAGCTCCCCAGAAACCTCAGAGTAAACAGTAACAGGCAAATGATATAAAAATCTAAGAATTTAATCCTCTTAATAATAGTAGCTGAGTTGAATGACCAGATTATATACACAACCTTTAAAAATGTGGTTTCGGCTGGGTATGGGGCTCACACCTGTAATCCCAGCACTTTGGGAGGCTGAGGCAGGCAGACTATGAGGTCAGGAGTTTAAGACCAGCCTGGCCAACATGGTGAAACCCCCTCTCTACTAAAAATACAAAAATTAGCTGGGCATGGTGGTACACACCTGTAATCCCAGCTACTTGGGAGACTAAGGCAGGAGAAATGCTGGAACCTGAGAGGCGGAGGTTGTAGTGAGCTGAGATTGCGCCACTGCACTCCAGCCTGGGTGACAGGATAAGACTCCGTCTTGGAAAAAAAATAAAAGTGATTTCACAGAATTTAGTCTCACGTCTCAGAAATAGTTCAAATACAAATGAAGCATTTAATTGCCACTTTTCTTGAAATCATCTAGCTAACACCAGTGGTCCACTTATTCCATAAAGATATGAAGAATCTACAAATTTGTCACTGAGAACCCAGCAACTGCCCTTGATCCAGAGTATTTGCTCAATATGCAATTTCTGAATGAACAGATTCAGACTATATGCAGTTACTTAAAAATAAGTGAAGATTAAATAAGTCAATACACATAAAGAACTTAGTGTCTAATATTAAGCATTAATAAATTATTACAAAATGAGATAAGATTTAGAGAAGACTTTACAAATCTGCCTTAAACTGACCTTGGAAAAACATGTACATGAGAGCTGGACAGAAAACATGTACCAGATGAAGGTATTCATGAAAGAACAGAGATAAGCATAGTCTTTACATATATGAGGAAAAGTAAGCTGACAACAAGGCTAAGAGTAAATACTAAAACCAACATTTGTTCAACTGAAATTGTTGCACTAACTCCAAAGGACATTTATCCTTTCACAATGATGAAGTAATAGTTTTAAGTCTATTGCTATGAGATGAATAAGATGTGATTGGTTTATTCATGAGATTGAAGATACCTCAACTCACTCAACTTTATATCCTTAAGCTTTATAACTTTGTAGAACAAGAATTAGTTATGTTGAATCTATTCTAATTACCATTTAACTATATCAACACCAAACCAGTATCAAAATATTTTAAGACAAATTTAAAACAAACAACTTTATTTCCTTGCTTTCACTTAAACCTTGATTTTATAAAACAAACACACACACACACACACACACACACAAAAACATTTTTAGGAGTTCTGCATAACAGAACATTGAACAGTACAAATATCCATTGCTTCATAGGTTCAAGTTATATAAATTAAAGTCAAATAATTGGAAATTGATTCAAAAACAGGGAAAACTATACATGAAAAAAATGTCAAAAGAACCTAACAGAGCAATATTTCATTGTTTATAGATTATTACTTTCAGGATCTTAACAAAGCTTCTAAATAGACTTCCTTTGCTGTATCTTATATTTAAATATCTCCTTACCTATACCGAGTCAAGCTACTTGACCAAAACATCTGATGTAGGAAAGCATTTAGCTTTATAGCCCAAGTTTTTCCATCTACAGTTACTATCTTCAAAGGAATTTACATTACAATGTTGACCAAAAAAATCCTGGTTCCTTTTGAACAATGTGCAACATGCTCATGATGCTAACTCCATGGTAACTCAAATAGGTACCAAAAAATAAAAGAAAAACAATTACACACAGTTCAGTAAGTATAATTTCGGTTTTCTCCATGCCAAAATTAACCAATGAAATAAAATGTATCAACTATAGATGACTTGATCTCAGGAAAACCACATTTCAAAATAACAATTACATTATTTTCCTCATTTCATTCTCAGTCATTGACAGGAATTTTGTAGGCCACCATGCTATTTACTTTGTGGATTGTAGTAGTAAATGAACGAAGGCGGACTTCCTCAGAATTGGTAATAAACTGTGGTCCTGACTCTTCCCATTTTTCAGGTACAACCAAATCCTTGTCTGTATAAATCAGCAGATCAAACGAACCTAAATTGGGGATAAGATCATTAAATTGTTTTTCCAAAAACAAAACTAATCTTGCTGCCTCTCTTCTATTTTGAACCACTCACTACTAGAAAAGGTCATATGGCTTGGTCTCTAATCACTAATTTATTTTGCTTGATGAACATTTATTTTAGTAAAGAAAATATCATATCTTTCTAACTTCTGTGGCAATTTAATGACTGTGTTCAAGTAACCCTTATCTTACTTAATAGTGGTCCCAAAGCGCAAGAATAGTGAGGCCAGTATATTGTTATAATTGTTCCATTTTAGTATTACTGTTGTTAACTATTACTGTGCTTAATTTATATGTTAAATTTTATCATAGGTATGTATGCATAACATAACAACATAATATATACAGGGTTCATACTATCCATGGTTTCATGTATTTGCTGTGGGTCTCCCTGTGAAAAGGGAGACTACCATATATTACTTTTGCTTTATAATGTTTTTCCTTCAATTTATAATACATAATACTAATAAATAAGACAAAATTTAATAAAGGAGTGATTAAAATAGTAGCTTAGTCTTTTTGCCATTGAATTCAACAAGAAGTAGTATAATACTTACAAGAAACTTCCAACAGTGGCAGAAATGTCACTGTAGCCGTGATCTGTCTGATCACTGAACGGATTTCATCCTGGATAGCTTTTTGAGACTTTTCTCTGGGTGCACTATCAAAACAAAACAAAACAAAACAAATCAATTCATTCATTTTAGGTCTTAAACATAGTGGTAAGATTATTTATCTGATTAAATGCTCCCAATATCAAACAAGCAATGCATTAAAAAGGTGGCTTGTAAAAAATACAAGTCAAAATATCCTTAAGACCTATAATCTAGCAGGCACAATGTACAACCGTATTACTTCATTTATCCTGCCAGTCATCTTTTAGAGCTGGTCTTAATGTCAGGTCATTTAGTATCAGATGACTAGAAAATCTGCCAACCACCTTAAGACAGGGAAACTTCAGCATCTCTTGAAATAAAAATAACAAGTGTATCTAAAATGTTTAATTGGTATAATCATTTCAGTATTTTTAGTAATGCCTGAATGTTTAATTTCCTATAGTCTCAAATAAAACATTAAATTATATATCTAATTATTTTTATAAGCTAAAAATTTCCTAAAATAAACCAAATGCTTCAGAAGCAAACTGTATTTCACTATGAGAAATGATTCTGCATTTACAGAAAAGCATGCCTAGAACAATACTAAACATTAGAGTATAAAGATGGAGATTTCTTTTCCAGGGAGTCTGAAACCTTGAGAACTTTATGAAGTGTCTTAGGAAACAGATGGCATTAAAGGAAGTAGAGCAGAGCTGCATCTTAAATTGTGTGAGTCTAAGATTATTCCTTATAGTCAGAAATATCTTTGAACAATTCATTAAATGGTCCATCTAGTATATCATGTGTAGTTTTGTATATGTCACCATAAATACTGTTTGAAAACTACTGATTTAGACTAAAGACAATTATGTTAAAAGTATATTATATATACAAATCAATGATAAGCTAAACTGAAGACAATTCTTTTCCATAGGTGACTGAAGATATCTTAGAAAATATAACTCAGAAACAAACTATATTTTATATAAAACTAGTTCAAAATAGAACTCAATTAGTAATAAAAAATAAGTTTTGAAAAAAAAAATCAAAGTAGAAATAATGCAATTCCTACTTACCTGTCATCTTTTGCAGTCTTGTCACACTCAATATCAAATTGCCATCTTTCTAGGACCTCACCACTTTCAATGTTTGAGATAACTACAACCAGCTTCTGAACTGAACACTTGTATAACCAATCTGCAATATATAAAAAGGAAGACATCTTTCTTGGTCCACTGCATTATACAGTAGCTCTCTTCTCTGGTCCTACTCCCTATTCTCAGCAAATTCCTACCACTGGTATCTTGTACCTCCTTCTACATGCAACAAAGTTTGCCCCATCAATAACCTAACTTCTGTCGTCAAATTCTCAGTATCTGTGCCAGGTATAGTAACTGGTGCTAAGGACAGAATACTGAACATGTGGTACTTTCATCCTAATCCAAGATAAAAGCATAGGAGATGGGCATTAGTCTAATCATCACGCCAATAAATGAGAGATTATCACTGTAATGGCTGCTATGAAAGAGAGAGATAAGTGCAATGAGAGTATAAAAAAAGGACAATTTGAGCCACTCAGGAGGTCAGAAAAGGTTTGAGTTTAGCTCTAGGAATAAACAGCATTAAAAACATGCAAAAGGAGAAGAAAGAAGATATACTCGCAAGGGAAGAGCATATAATTAGAGGACTGGAAACAGTCCACTACAACTGCAATCAAGAAACAAACAAAATAAAACAAGGTAATCCTGGCAAGATAAGTAGGAGTCAGACCATGAAAAGCCTGATGGATCAAATTAAAGAAATATACACTTCAAGACCAGGGAAGTCATTACTTATGTGAAGCAGGATGCAAAGCCATTAGACTTGTATTTCAAAACTATCATTCTAGCAGTGATATGGAAGTGGAGTGGAGATGGTAAAGAGGGGATCTAGAGACACTAGTTAATCAGTAATTTAAGCAAGAGTTAATGAAAGCTTAGGGGGATAAACTGGTAGAGATGGAGCAGTAGATAGATTTAAGAGATTTCATGGTTAAAATTTATTAGGTTTAGTCACAGTAGTTTGGAAGAAGTATGATTCAGGGATAGCTTCCAAGTTTATTTCTGGTTGGACAGTTTAGCCATTTATTGAGAGAAAAAAAGAGAGAATTAAAGAGTATCAGTTTTGGAGATGATCCTAAATCTAGTTTTTAGCATGCTTTAGTGTACATTATCTCTGAGATAGCTACATAAAGATATAGCTGCTGGATATATGAGTCTGGAGAAAGAGGCTTGGGATAGATACAAGTTTATGAGTTGACTACACAAAGGTTTTAAGTGAAGCTATACAAGGTCAAAGATCACCTAAAGAGAAATTAAAAAGAGAACAGGGGCTCAGATTGAGGCTTGAATTAATCTCGGAAATTGAAACAGCATTATCAGGAGTCGGCCAAGTTTTTGTAAAGAAAGAGTAATTAGTAAATATTTTAGGCTTATAGGCCACCAAGATCTCTGTTGCTTATTTTTAAACAAACCTGTAAGTGTAAAAACATTCTTAGCTTATGGGCAGTACAAAAATAGACCATCTGTTGGATGTGGCCTGTGGGCCTTGTGATTCATTGGCATTTATCAACAACTTTGTATTAGTTTCACTCTGAAAAGGAGGAGACTGGGTGGTAATTTGTTCTTTCTTTAAAACTGGAGAGATGAAACCAATGGGAATAATTACAATCAAAACACAGAAGCGGAAAATACAAGAGAGAACAGGATAAAGACCCTAAAAAGGCTAGAGGAAATGACATTCAAAACAGAACAACCTGCCTCTAGGCAAGAGCAATTCTTCCACTTTAACCAAAATAAAAGGGAAAAGTTAAACAGGAAGGTCTAGACACACATAAGGTGAAATGTCATCAATTCAGTCTCAAAGGAGACAACGTAAAAACCATTGGCTTAGACAATATCTGCTTCTCTAGCAAATTAAGATGAAGGCACAGATCCACAGTTGCCTAGAGGTTCCAGGCTGAATGATGTGAGAGAAAAATACAGCCTTTTGTTCTCTCAAAAAAAAAAAAAAAAAAAAAAAAAACCTTTTTTTCTCAAAAAAAAAAAAAAAAAAAAAAAAAAAGATGTGCAGCCCTATGACTCACTGTAGATAATTTATTCCTGACTCCCAATTTTGGCTGCAACTCTGGGAGAGGAGGACTGCTCCTATCAATGTCTTTCCTGTGTACACTGAGAACAGAGGCCTATTCTCACACCAAAAGATGTCTCATCTTGCTGTTTAGACAATACCAATCCACTACAGCAGAAGTTCTCAACCAAGGGCAGTTTTGTCCCCTAGGGTATATCTGGCAATATAACATATGGAGACATTTCTGGTTGTCAGAGCAAGGGGGTTTGTTACTGTATTTGATGAGTAGAGGTCACGGATGTTGGTAAACATTCTACAACACACATAAAAGCACCCACACCAAAGAAATATCCAGGCCAAAATGTCAATAGGGCTATCTTCCCTTGCCTGTCAATTTGAGACCTGACATGCACAGGTTGTTGAGGGATTCCACTCCTGTACATATAAATGGCAAGTCAATGTTAACAGTTTACCTAGAGGATAGTGCAGCTTCAAAGAGAGTTATCAAGCTAAAAAAGTTCAGATGGCCATCATCAGAAGAGTATATTAAAAATGGGTTAGTAAAAATGCCATGAAAACGATAAAGAAGCCACATTTGGAACAAAAGATTCTGGTCAACAACAAAATAAATGATTTCTAAATTAAAAAAAAAAAAATCATGGCCACTGTAATACTCTTTGAAACTAATATTTTAGAAGATAAAATGAGAGAAACATTTGAAAAATTAGAAATGAGCATCCTAAGTGGAGGGAAACACAAGAGAAACTAGCAGGAATTCTAGAAAGGAAAAAAAAAACAGATGAACAAGTATTCATCCAAGAGGTAATACAGCTAAAAAAAAATAATGAGTGTTCAGACAGAAAAGGCTTACTGTATCACAGGCAGAATTTTTGTAAACGACAAAGAGAAATAGGTGAAAACAAAACAAAACAAAAAAACCTGTTGGTGTTCTGTTATTTAGTAGGTAATCTTTCTCTTTTTTTGAAATTTAGTTCTCTGGTTGAATCCAATTTTATGTTTCTTGATCTTAATCTCATGATAACATAAGACTACAGAAAATTAATATATCATATTGAGACTATGTATATTTTCTCAGCTAGTGAACACCATATAATTATGTAAAATTCCAACTTGCTCCATTTAGCAACATTAACTGCAAAAGCCACTTCTAAAGGAGTTGATGAAGACTATCTTTTTTAGCTCTATCAGATTTCTAACATCAAAATATTCAGCCCACTCACAATGTAGTGAGGGGAAGAGTGGATTTCTTCCATTTTACATATTATTTGCCTCCTCCCAACTGAAAATTACTATTTGCGATGCTAGTATGTTCTACACTTCTATGTGCAGAGTGGAAAAAATTACTACTTGAGATGCCTGAAAATGTGGATCCTAGTCTACAAGACTCAAATTGTTTCCAATGATTAAATACCTTTTAGTTGTTCCACCACATTATTTAGGTATTTTATGAGCTCAAGATCAGTAGTTACAAGCAAGGTGAGTCCATATTTCTGCACTCGAGTAAAGGTTTCAGATGGATATATGCCACGTTGATATAAAATGCTGTTGATGCCAAATGCTGCAAACAAAAGAAATGTTACAGAAAATTCTTTATCACTACATAACTTTGGAAAATAAAATATATTCAGATGTGGTTATATTTTCATTACGCAATAAAGCTGTAAATGAACACACGTGTTTGTCTCTCGCTCAAAGCAGAGTAGGTACAAAGTGGCATTAAAAATCCTTAAAAGTCTTGCTTCTAAGTAAGAAAGGTATTTGCTTTCGTGTGGCAATAAAAAAAAAAAAAAAATCCAAAGTGTATCAACCTACCACTGCCAAATTTCACCTCATTGTAAACCAAGTCCAAATTAATATTATGAGGCTAGAGGATATCAAAATAGGCTGTTACATCCGAGTTAGCAACTGACTTAATAGTCACTGTGCTCCAGGCAAGCCTGCATCTTCCCCTTTCCCTCTCAAATCCTGCCAGGTTCCTTTAGAACGTGCAGCGGGCCTGGTCGAGAACAAGCGTTCCCAAAATCTTGTCTACCGCCAGCCTCACGCCTCATAATCACTTAGAGTGGGAGGGTCAGGGTGCGGCCGCAGTTAACAAAACAAAACAATCCTCCCTTCCCCCTACACACAACACCAGGGCCCACCCCAGTCACTCTGTCCTGTTTCGGGAAGTAAGCGGTGGGAGGTGGAGTGGTTCTGCACAAACGCTCTGGAAGAGGCTACGATGTGAGGTAGGCCCCAGCAGCACGCAGGCCCGCCGCTCCACCTTAGCAACGCGTTGGGAGGAAGCGACTGCAGCCGCCTCACCCCAGATTCCTTCCCGGGTCTTGGAGGCCGAGCCGCGGGCCTAATGAGCCGCCAGGACTCAGTTCACCCCCACCATGGCCTGCGCGATGACTTACAGAAGAACTCGGCCACGATTTCGGCGCTCCCGCGCAGAGTGATTCCCTGTTCCCGGGAGAGCTGCAGCGCCATGGCCACGGACACAAGCAAACGCACGCGCTTCCACTCCGCGGACAGCGACCGCAGCGGCTCCTTAACAATTCCCCGCCAAGCGTTTCAAAAGTAACGACGCAGCGCGTCCTCCGGCCTTTTGCGCAGGCGCGACGAGCCTTTAACTCCGCCCTACGCGGCGGGGTCCTGCCCTTTCTCTCCGCGTTCCTGCGATCTCGCGGGAACAGGCGGTTCTCGCAGGCGCGGCCGGTTCTCGCAGGCGCAGTTGGTGGACTTGGTCTGCTGTGCCTGTGTGAAGCTCCGGTAGGTTGTGGTTGGATGTCTTCTGGTCCTAGTCTACTAGTTGGGGCCGAGGCAAGAAGATAACGATTCCAATTTCAGTAGCCGGTGTCTACGCTTATGAACTGAAAGACCATGGAGTACAATTTCCGAGTTTCAAAGTTACTTTCAAACTGAAATGAACTGTTTGCCCGCTGTACCCGAAGTGGCCCACGTGACCCCTAGTGAACAGTCTAAACTTCCGCTAGATGCTTTGGGAATTTGTGAAGCTCCCGCGTGCGCGGTAGCCACGCTGCAGCTTTGGAGGGTCTGCTTTCTGTGTGGGAACGCGGCTTTTCCCGAGAAATTGGGTTACGGATTAAAGAGGGGAACTGCTTCCTCTTTTCTGTCCTGGGCTTAAGGCACCCCTCAGAGGCCAGAGGCGTAGGCGAGTCTGGGGCGGTAGGTGGCTGCGTCCAGAAGTCCAGGTTGCGTTCTGTACACCCTGCCCACCCTTAGGCGGCAGGACAGGATTAAGGTCACCTCACCAAAGAGGCTCATCAGCATTGAAGAATACTTAGTGTGTCTTGATTCACCAAACTCAATGGCTTTTCGTTGAAAAGGGTGAGAATTATTAAGGAGATATTGCACAATTAATGTTCATGCCAATTTTGAAAGAATTCTTAGAGCAGGTGGGAAGATATTTGTAGAATGACGCCTGAAAAACTTTTATATCTGCCAGACATGCTGTTATTATATGAGAAATACTTGAATGTTGTTAGTTTTCTATTGCTGCGTAACTACCACAAATCAGTGGCTTCAGAACACCATCTATTTGTTTTCTCAGTCCTGTAGGTCAGAAGTCTGGACGTGGCATAGTTGACTGCTTTGCTCAGTCGCACAAGGTTGAAATCAAAGGGTCTGCAAGTGGGGGGTCGCATCTGAGGTTTGGGGTCCTTCTCAGCCCTCTGACAGAAAGTGGTTGTTGGACTAGGATCCCTTTTGTCTCGCTAGCTGTTGGCCAGAGGCCAGCCGTTTGTTTGCCAGTTGGCCCTTCCACAGGCCGCCTCACACCTCCCATTCCCCTGACTTCAGGGAAATTCCAGCCCCTTTTAAATGCTCACCTGATTAAGTCAGACCTAGTCAGATCTCCCTTTTGATGAACCTAATCCGAGAAATAATATCTCCTCATATTTGTAGGTTCTACCCAAAGTCCAGGGGAGAGGATTATGTAGATGTGCTCTCTAGGGGCCAGGAATGTGGGGAACCATCTTAGAATTCTCCCAGTACAGTGTTGTATATCATATTTTGATCAGTTTGAAGAGTAAAACATGGGTGTGATAGGTTACAGGCTGACTTGACCCAGTAAAATTTTTTCTTACATCCTTTAATCTCTGTGTGTGTATAAATCACAAACTTTGATATGAAGAATAAGGTCAGGGAAAGTAAAGAGTAAAGAGTAAGAGAGTTGGATGTCTTTTACCCCTTCCACTGAGAGCTTGGGTAGAGCTAGGATTTTGGCATCACACTGGTAGGACATGTTGCCCATGTTTTTCCACATAAAAACTGCCTCTCTAGGGAACTTAATGTTAAAACTGAGCACTTCAGGAATGATTTTATTGAGTTTCATAGTAATGTAGTTTTTAAGTTAGCTAAAGCTGCAAATAATTGTTAGTATAACTTGGAGATTCTAGAAATTAAAAGGCTATCATAATTGTGATTTTTACTATGTACAAAGGACGTATTAAATATCTGTACTCTATGAGGAGACATAAGAAATTAGGTGTAGAAGGAATGGTCTGTGTCTTGTGAGGAATTTGTAGTCTACTTCGGTTCAAATATTTATACTTTTTTTTTTTAAAAAAAAAAAAAAAGAAAATTGGATGTTCATGAGTTTGACCCTACCTGGTTTCTGCCTGCCTGGGAAGACTTCTATCACATTACTTTCCTCATCTGTCTGCTCCTTTCAGTAACTTGGCCCTCCATGTTGTTTTCTACCTCACTGCTTTCCATAATGTACATTTCTCTACCTAGAAATTTCATTTTATCTGTTCAGATTCCTAATTATATTCACACCCTTTCTTAAAGGGTGTGAATGTCTTAACTTTGCTTAAAGACATTTTCTTTGAGTGTCTAAGGACCTCTCTGAAGTATTTTCATAGCATCTCATAGTGCTACTTCAGAGCATTTAATTGTAAAAAATTATATATGATTTGCCTCATACCTGATCTGTTTCCCATGTCAAAAATAAAATCAGGATAAATAAAGTTTATTGTCATAGAAAAAGTACAGACAAGTGGGAGGAGTGGGAAGAAGCTTGCACTCAGCAGTTACGGCACAGTTTATAAGGACAAAGGAGGAAGCATTTTGAGCTTTTCTGTTATTTGCTCTTATACATTAAGATTTTTTAGGGGGGCATACAGCTGTTTAAGTTGATTTGTCTAGTTGATTGGCTTAATTTCATGGAATCATACAAAAATGTAAAGCTTATGTTTTATGTTTATGATTAGAAAGAGCATTTCAGAGAAATCAGGATGATGTAAGTTTTAGCTGATATGGTTATGGGCATTTGGCCTTGGTGTATATCTAAACTGTGACTTCCATTTTTATTGTATTTTTTAACACTTGTAGGATCCATGTAGAATCCATTTAGTGGGTTCTCAACAAATATTTGTTGAATGAATGAATATTTGCTTAGGAAAGCTCATGGAAGAATCCAAAACATTTTCTAATTGAAAAGTAGGTTGCATGGATGAATGAGGTCACTTTTAGAGAACTGTGAATACCTACCTACATTGATTGAATTGGTGGCACCAGGGTTTTCTAGGTTCTTAGGACTGACATAATTAAAGGGACATTTTTTTCAAGTGTTAATTCAGTAATGATTGTAGAATGAACAGTGTACAGGACAGTCTAACGTGGTAGCCTCAAACTTGAGTGTGTAGAATTACCTGTGTGTTGTGTAAATCTCGGGCTTTTTCCCCCTTCTCCAGGGCTGGTTCAGGCCATACTTAAGCACTTGAAGCATGCTGATCCAAACTGATACATGCTGCAAGTGTAAAATACCAGATTTCAAAGACAGTACAAACAAATGGATATAAAGTATCACGTTAATATGTTTTCTAATTGATTACATCTTGAAACAATATTTTACATGCATTGGAGTAAATAAAATATATTATTAAAATGGTTTCACTGGTTTCTTTTTGGTTTATTTTCAGTGTGATTACCATGACATTTAAAATTATGTATGTGACTCGTATGTTTTCAGTGGATAGTATTTGTCTACAGTATGGGGTCTAGGGAATGACATGTTTTAATAACCGTCCAAGTGATTCTGATGCAAGTTCTTAGACCAATCTTTGAAAAGCAAGATTCTGTGATTGATATTTTAGCATGCAGGGCTAGGAAGTGGAGTGTCTGGACTAAACGGATGGCACAGAGGTTGAACAAGAAGAGATACTTTAGGGAAAGACATTTTGAAACAAGGACTGAGTTGATGACTGATAATGGAGGAATGAAGTGGTAGTTCAGATAAATCTGAGGTGCCAAGTCTGCAGTACAGGGTAATATTTGATCCAGATTATGATAGGAAGAGCTGCCCAAACTCTGAGCTTGTTCTAGTTCTTATTTATCAGAGTAACACCCAAGATTCTAAAAGCTTTGGAGGGACTTCTGCCACATTAACTTTTGGGAACTTGATTTGCCATTGACCTCATCTTATCAAATACATGCACACTTATCTTTACGGAATGTTTCAAAACTTGTTTTCAGTTACTTTAGCTCACTTTTCTTTATAATTCAATGAAATCTTTTAAATGTGTATTGTTTAGGGGAAGGCTGTTTGGACAGGGAGAATAATAAATTGAGAATTTTCTGAAGAAATTTCAAGCAGAATGCATAACCAAAACTCATATTAATAAAAAGATAAAGTGTGCCATAAACTGACCTATATTTCATATTAGGATGTTAAAAACAAACATAATTTTCTAAGGCTAAATCAAATAGAATTTTAGGATGAAAGTGACTTAATTAATGATTAGTTGAACAACTTTAAAGATAAGGAAACTGAGGTCCATAATGGCTATACAGTCAGTCTAAGATTCAGTATCTTGATAGTGGTATATTTAGTAGACGATCTAGGGATCCCGATGTAGTCTCCTTTTAAATTATATCCATTTGAAGACATTCTGAAAAATGCTTTTTTTCAAAGTTTAGTTTGAAACAGAATAACAGATGTTAGGTTAAGAATTTTTACTCAATAATCTATACATATAACTTGTCCAAAAAATGGCAGTTATTTAATACAAACCATAATTTTACGTAGATAACACAAATACTTCCAACTGCCACAAGGGGGCACTATATGCACGTGAAATATTTTAAACTGTCAGTGTGTCTCAGTTCAAGGAAAAATGAATTTAGTATTTTCTAAGGTATTAATATATGTAGATACACAAATACAACTGTCACAAAGTGGCACTGAATGCATGTGAAATACTGCCTTTTAAAACGTGACCGTACTTCAGTTCAAGGAAAAATGAATTTAATATTTTCTAAGGTATTAATAAATGTGTAATACTTCAGAATGACATGTGGAATCATAATATATTACAAAACTGGTATCCTTTTTTGTTTGTTTGTTTGTTTGTTTGTTTGTGACAGAGCCTCACACTGTTGCCCAGGCTGGAGTGCAGTGGCATGATCTTGGCTCACTGCAACCTCCACCTTCCTGGTTCAAGTGATTCTCCTGCCTCAGCCTCCTGAGTAGCTGGCATTACAGGTGCGCACCATCATGTCTGGCCAATTTTTTGTATTTTTAGTAGAGACGGGGTTTTACTATGCTGGCCAGGCTGTCTCAAATTCCTGACCTTGTGATCTGCCTGCCTTGGCCTCCTAAAGTGCTGGGATTACAGGTGTGAGCCAGCGAGCCCGGCCCAAAAAGGTATTCTTTTAAACATTTAATACCCTCTTAAACATTTGGTATATAAGCACACACACACATACTGAAAGCATACATATACAGGTTGAGCATCCCTAATCTAAAAATCTGAAATGTTTTGGGCACTGACATAATGCTCATAGGAAATGCACATTGGAGCATTTCAAACTTTGGATACTAAATTAGTAAGTATATAATGCAAATATTCCAGAATCCAAAATCTGAAATACCTCTGGTTCCACACATTTCAGATAAGGCGTACTTACCCTGAGTGAGGTTTTATTAATGTATATATATGTGTGTGTATACACCCACACCATTTAATTTGCTTATTCTTAGAAAACATTTTTTAAAGTATATCATTATTCTCATAAACTTAGAGGTTTTTTTTAATCAAATAGACAGAAGTTATTTTATTCCTGAGGCCAACATCTTGAAACAGAGCAGTTTATTTTAAATTTTATGAAACAGTAGGGGATACTTAGATTTTAGTAAGAACAAATTTTGCAGTGAGCCGAGATCCAGCCACTGCATTCCAGCCTGGGCACCAGAGTGAGACTCTGTCTCAAATAAATAAATAAATAAATAAATAAACAAATTTTGAAAAAAATATTTCTGCACATATGCATTTGATTATATTATCTTGAATAATTTCTTTAAATCTGTCATAAGACTTC